AAAAAAAAAAAAAAAAAAAAAAAAAAAAAAAAAAAAAAGGAGGGCCCCATTGAAAGACAAGAAGCCAATAAAAAAAAGCAGCACAGCTTTACGCTTGTTCAGCCGTTAAGAAATGTGTAAGTGCTGATTGAGACAGAAAGAGCGAGTGGGGACTAAGCATGGGGTTGCAACAGATTAGCTGACTGGGCGACATCTGTATGTCACTTGTCTTCACTACCCTGCTCGGTAGGTTTCAGTGTAAGACTGAGTCTAGATGGGTCAGATCACTGGCCGCTGTTGTGCGCTTGAATTACAGATGCCAATGTCCCGAGCAGGTGCGGCCCCAAACTTCCATCCCTGATAGACTCACCCTCTTAGTGTCCAGCAGCCCGGGCTGGAAGGGACACATCTTACCACTGCCCTTGGAGCAGATGGGGAAACAGGCACGGAGCTGGAATTAACCTGATCAGGGTCACTTGTCCTTGTTCTGGTCCTTCCTCCCTTTGCAGTAAAAGGAGGCTCCCCACTCTGCCCTGGGTCTGGGGAACAGGACAGTGGTGGCACACAGAGAAGATACACTCCTGAGCCGCAGGAACGCGGTCAGTGATAGTAATAAAGCAAATGTTTAGGGGGCTGGGGAGATGGCTCAGTGGAATAAGTGCTTCCCTGGCAAGCCCAAGGGCCTGAGTTCAACCCCCGGTTCCACAAAAAAAAAAAAAAAAAGCAGATGATCAGGGGTGTTTCCGCGTCCTTGGGGGGCAGGGGGCAGGTTACTTTACTGATATGGCAGCGCTGCATGCTCCTCCACTAGATTTCCAGAAGGTGGCGGTAGCGAGTGCTTGTCCTGCAGAGCTGGTAGATGAAGGTACTTTCTCAGCAAAACGCTGATGGGTGAGCAGCAGTCCAGGCCAGGACAGACAGTGAGGGTTCCAGGATGGAGAGAAAGGGGGGCGAGGGGGCCGGAGCAGGAGCAAAACCCACGGTGCCCACCAGGGTGAGCTCTGCCTCGCTGCTGTAAGGAGCGACTTGGGGGCTGAGAGACACACATGCCTGCTGGGTTTGGGGCTCCTCCCCTCTGAGCACAGACATGTCACCCGGGCACTTTTCCTTGGGTGGCACCACCCTCCCCACAGGAAGCTGCACAGCTGTAGGCAGAGGGAAGGTGGAGCACCCTGCGTTGGCTTCCAGCACTCTGCCTCTTCTAGTCCTGTGCCAGGGATGACCCTGCCTGCCCACCCTCACCAAGAACTGATAGACCTGCAGTTGCTCATGGCCTCTGATGCCCTCTCTCTGCAGATTTGTGTTCCTTGTGCTGACACATTTTGACCTGGAGCTGGTCAGTGTGGATGAGGAGATCCCCAACTTTGACCTCAGCAGGTACGGCTTCGGTCTGATGCAGCCCGAGCGTGATGTGCCCGTCCAGTACCGCGTCCGGCTGTGACCTCTCGGAGCCTCCAGCCAGCCTGCTCCAGCTTCCTGACCCTTCTGTGCCAGCATTGCTGTGTCCCTGCTGTCCTCCTAGATGTGCCTAGGGGTGAGAACAAAGTGGAAGTCACAAAAGACATCATAATCAAGAAAAGACATGGAAAGTTCTGTGGCTTATCACTGCCCAGTTTGAATTCCAAACCAGGCTCTTTTCTTTCTTCATGAGACAGGATCTCACTATGTAGTGTAGACTGGCCTTGAACTCATTTTGTAGTCTAGGCTAGCATCAGACTCACCGAGATCCTCCTGCCTCAGCCTCCCAAGGGCTGAGATTACAGCGATGTACCACTGTGCCTATAAATCAGGCTTTTTCTGATGCTAAGTTACCTTCCCCTTCACCCTTGGTGATATCCACAAAAGCTAATCCAGACAGGGCAGATCCAGGTTCCTTACTGCCATGACCCCAGCTCCCAGAGGAGTCCGCGTCCCAGCCCTTCACAGATGCTGGGGCCTGGGCCTTTACCAGTCAAAGTGATGCCGGCCATGAAAAGGCCCAGCTGGTCCAGGGAGTGTGTCCACTGGCACAAGCTCTGGCCCCCAGGTATTGAAGTAGCTAAAGCCACAGGGTCCCTTGGGCTATCCCCTTCTCTCAGCTCCCCATGCGCTGGATGCTGCCCTCCTCTGCATTCATATGGATACTTGAGGGCTCCCCGAGGTGCAGGCACTGCCCCAACCAGCCCTGGGCCCAGAGGCACAGAGGTCTCTGTGCTAGAGTTGCAGGTTTGAGACAGGCTGGGCTATCCTCACACCAAGACTCAGGTAGGGAGCCAAAGAAGACACCTTGCCAGGGTGGCTGGAAGGAACCAGCCAGGCCCCGTGGGTGGGTCAAGGTGCACAGGAGAAAGAGCCAAGCTTCTGCGCTCTGGTGCGGATGCCCCTGCTGCCTGCTTGCCGCACAATCCAGGTTGCAGATGGGTTCCGCTGGCCTGCACCTCACAGACGTGATTTCGAGCTGTGGGTGTGATGCAAGCCTGTGATCCCAGCAACTTGGGAGGCTGCAGCAGGAGAAATCGTTCAGGGCCAAACTTGGCAAATTAGCAAGACTCTGTCTCAAGACAAAATAAAACAAAACCTGAGGTGTTACCACATCACCATTTTTAGAGTTGAGATCCATGTCCAGCTTCTGCTTGGACACTTGGAAGCTGGGGCCACACTGAGCCACATTGCCAAGGGCCTCCCTGGCCCAGCCAGGTGGCAACCTCCCCTTTGTATGGGACATGTGCTGTGGTCCCTGGGTTTGAGCTCCTGTCCCCTTCTGCATTCATTGCGCCTGGCCTGAAGTCACTGGAATTTGAGATCCTGCATAGACTCTCAGAAGTGATCCTGTAGGAGGTGGGGGTGGGAACCACCTGACGGGGTTCATGTGTGCTTTCCAGTATTGGAGTGAACAGGTCCGTGGTGAACACTTGTGCCTTTTCCTGGCTTTAGGAACAAACCCACTGAAGGAGAAACACTGCTTGCAAACCTTGCTTCTGATGGCAAATGTGGCTCTTGGGTCCTGATGATCAAGAGCTCTTTCAGTGCGTGACAGGCGCAGCAGACTCACGTCCCTGCGGGTCTGTGCAGAAGGGCAAGTGGCTGGCCTGAGGTCACACAGTTCCTAGGCTGGTGGCGCTCCACCTCCACTCTCCCTAGACACAAAGAGGAAGGGCAGCTCTTCATTCTTGGGGGTCCAGAGGTGGCAATGAAGCAGCTGTGTTTGGCACTGGAGGGCAGAGAGCCTTAGCTGGAGGCACTGAGAGGCCCTGTGTCCTCCTTGTGCCCTAGGGGTGAGTCTGTTCTTGAAGCAACCCTGGGGCTTGGGGGCTTCCCTGGCCCTAAGCTCCAGGCGCCCCCAGGATTCCCAGACAGCGTGATTGGCAGGAGGCCGGATATCCCCAGGGAAACCCATCTTCACGCCTGGGTGACCCCACTCCCGCCTGCTTCTTAACTCTGCAGGAAATCAGAGCTGGCAGCCTCCTGTGGGAGGATGAGCCAGTTTCCATAGCAACCTCAGCTGCCTCCTCCTGGCTGGAAGGGAAGGAAGAACGCCACCAGAAATAGCTGCGGAAGGCCTGCGACCCTGGCGTGCCTGCGGGGGAACCCCTTCTGGCTTCCCCCTTCCAAATCAGGCTGGGTTGGGAGGGCAGCTTCATTCTCACCTGCCTTCAAAGAAGGGCCAGTTCACTTTAAAGGGGGGGAGGGGCACCTCCTTGGCGCCACGATCAATATCAGGGAATTAACTTGGAAAAGACAAATCTCCCAAGCAAGCAGCTCCAGCTGGAATCTGAGAATGAAGTGGAGCTCGGAGGCAGTGATTGAAACCTGTCCTTGTTTTAATATTTATCATTCTTTTCTCTTTTGTTCTTTTTTTTTAAAGTAAGCTTCTGAGAAAAGAGGGAGAGATAAGCAGGTTAGCTGCTTGCTGCAGAGCGTTGGGGAAGGAGCTGGTGTTATTGTCATTCTTCCTGCCCTGTGTGAGGATCGCAAAATTGGAGGACACAAGCTAGATTCCTCTTAACAGTGACCTGCTGGAGGGTTTCCTGCGCATTGTTATCGTTGTGCATATATTGTAAATTCTTGTTTACCAAACATTTTCCCTTAAACAGACTCATCTTTTTGGCGGGGCCTGGTGTGGTTACACACAACTGTAATCCCAGTACTTTAGAGGCTGAGGCAGGAGGATTGCTACAATTTCACAGTCAGCCTGAACTGCACAGCAAAGCCCTGTCTCAAAAAAAAAGACTCACTTTTTAAATTTAAATTTGCTTTGCACTTGCAGCCAGTAATGCGCCGCATGTATTGCTCAAAGTAGAAAGTGACTGGGAAAAATAAACTGGCTGGGGTGGGGCTCCACTGGGCCAGGCCCAGGCCCCAAGCGCCCACTCAGGTCTGGAGCGAACCCAGCAAGGTCGGAGTTGTCTGAAGGCCCTGCTGCTTCTGGAGCCAAGAGAGGGTAAAGGGGACAGGGGACAGGTGTGCACAGCTCTCCTCCCCAGGGAGCTGGTCATGTCCTGCCTGCCCCATCTCCAGACAGAGTCAGCCTCGGAGGCCAAGAGTCTGGCCTGAAGTCATTGTCTTGGATATTCTGAATAAACAGCATTCCCTGAGTAGCACAATGGTGTGCCTCCTTATTTCAGTGCAGAGCTGCACGTCCACAGAGCCCCATCAAGGAGAACTATGATAGAACCTACTAAGGCATCCTCCTTCTCTAGAGCCTCTGTGTGTGACTCCCATCTGGCACATGCAGTCAGTGCCCAGGTCACACTGCCGGCCACCCGCAAGGCAGCCGTGAGCACCACCATTTTCATAGAGGGGGAAAGTGCAGGTCAGGAAGTGTATGACTTGCCTAACACCACATGGTTAAGTCGTAGTAGCCCAGGATTCCAATGCAGCGGTCTTCCTGGGGTCTTCCTGTCTGTGATCCTAGAAGATACGAGTACCAGCAGAGGAGCTAGGGTGCTGGGCCATCAGCAAACAAAAAGTATCTCTTACAATTTTATTGGACTAGCCAGTCACGGTGGTGCATGTCTGTCATCCCAGCCCCTTGGGAGGCTGAGGCAGGATGATTGCAGCAAGTTCGAGGCCAGCTTAAACTGCATGGTGAGGCCCTGTCTCAAAAAGACTCCCAGTCCCAAGAAAAGGGAAATTTACGGGACCAGCATTCAGGTGAGTTGATACACACCTGTAGTCCTAGCTAACTCAGGAGGCTGAAGCAGGAGGGTTGCTTGAAGCTACAAGTTCAAGACTAGCCTTCACAACATAGCAAGACCCCATCTTAAAAAAATACTCATTGGAATCTCTCTCTTTCACCTGACTACATGCATTTGTTTCAACACGAGAGGCAGAAGGGGGTTGATCACATCTGCCTTCAGAAAAATAGAAAAGGGAAAATTGTTTTTTTCTCAAATTTTTTGAGTCAAAATTCCCAGGATACAAGTCCCTCACACCAGTGTCTTCTGCTGTGAGGCCGATGTGGAAAAGCACTGGCGAGTGTGACACTGGGCCTCGAGTAACACACTTCATGAGGACATGGCAACATCTACTTCCATGTTTACGTTCACAATGTAGATGTTCCTTTCTCACACATATACAGGAGAACAAGGGTGGGTGACCTCTTCACAGTCACCCGGCCCCTTTTTCTACTCCCTCTGTCCCTATAACAAGTAACTTCCAACCTCGGGGCCCAGTATGGCTGCTTGAGCTCCAGCTACTTTGTTCACATCCCAGCCAGCCACGAAGGAGGAGCAAAGCAAAGCTCCTAAAGCTGATGCTAGAATCAACCCAGCCCCTCACTCAAAGCCCACACCGATGATGGTGCTGGTCGAACAATTTGGTGTCTATACAAAAACCACAGATGCCAGACATAGTGGCCCACACTCATATTCTAGGTACTCAGGGAGGCTGAGGCAGGAGGATCACAAGTCGGAGCGCAGCCTGAGCAAACTTAGCGATACCTTGCCTCAAAATAAAAAGGGCCAGGGCAGAGCTCAGTGATGGAGCCCTTGCTTAGCATGCCAGCGACCCAGTGGGTGGGTGGGAAGCTGCGACTACAGCTTCATGCAGCTGTTTTGTGCGCCCCCGAAAAAGTAGATATTCTGAACGCCTCGTATGTGCCAGGCACCGTGAGGATCGCCACTGGGCGCTGACTGGCAAAGCAGGAGAAATACAAAGTGGGTCCGATGGCGACAGGTGCCCCAGGGATGAAGGACACGGACGAGGTGGTGGGGACCCGCGAGCCGGGAGCCGAAGGCCAGGAGAGGGCAGAGTCGGCCGGAAGGGGGGAGCGCAGGCCTGCCGAAGCCGCCGCGCCGTCGGGGGCAGGAGAAGGCCGGCGTGGCCAGGGCTTCTGGCGGGCAGGCTGGGATCTGACCGATGCTGTGGATGCGGGGCCACAGAGGACAGCCAGTGCCAGCGTGGGAACAGGGCCGTCCAGGCAACAGGTACCCTGCAGCGTCCCCGGAGCTGCGGGGACAGCGGGAGGTGACACGGAGCCGGCGGGAGTGTCCGAATCCCCCCCCCCCCCCGCACAGAGCTGGGGTCATGTGCGGGATCCGGGGAAAGACACGCCAGGATCCCCAAGAAGCAGCGAGCTC